CCAACGATCCAGTGAAAACATTCGTGAGCAAATGGTTAGACTTCAACTTACTTACAACTTCATTCTACGGGAATGGAATGAAAAAATTTCCAAAACATTGGGAAAAATGTATCATAAAAAGAGGAGATTATTTAGAAACATAATTTGTAGAAATATAGATGTTTCCTGTTAACTAACGTTCGTTTAAATAAAAGACTCATTTATATTTGATTCACCCTCGTAAAAACCAAATTTTTATTCATCCAACTGCAAGGAAAATCCGAATCTTTGTGTAATTAGGTAATCAACATGAATATAAATAAGCCCACTCGTTAGGTAACTTTTTCTTTTTCTCTTTTCAAATCTTCTTGATGAAACTCATTCGCTAAAGTTATTTTACTCAAAAATAAATATCTTTGTCTTTGAAATTATTACGATTTTCTTCTTTAATTTAATTTAATTTTGTTTAATTAATATAATTTAATTTTAATAATAATTTAATTAATAATAATTAATTTTGTTTAATTAATATATTTGTATAATTAATAGCATTCTACGGAACATACACTTAACCTAAAAACAATGTTCCTTATTTCGTTTTAATGTTTTACTAATTATTACTTTGTTAAATTATTCAATTTAGAATTTATATGACATCGTAAAATTAAAAGTAATGATTTATTAATTATTACTTTTGAATTTTTGTCAGAAGATATTGAATGATTGAACTGTTAAAGCAAACTGTGATCTAAATATGAATTTCTTTTTCATATATCTATATTTATCGTTCGATAAAAAAGCAGAATTGCCTCGAAGAGAAACATTTAATTCTTAGGAACAGCAAAAGTCACCAGGAGAATAATTCATTTACGCAAAACACACACCTTTATTTTATACTATATGATGCAATAAATGGAAGTTAAGAAAGGTAAACATTTTTAGCATTTAACTTTTAAAAAACCTTTTTTTTTACATCAGCATTTCTCATCCTGTGTAAGACATCTTCCATGAAAGGACTACCTCCTGAAATCTAGGGAGGAATAAGAAAAGTTGCAATTTTTCATTCATAAAGTAGAATATAGTGGAATGAATCTGAATGAGAATTAAATCACTCAGCACCTGTACATAAATGTGAAAGCTGCCAAAAGAAAAGTAATTCAGAAAAAGAGTGATCTTCAAATTCTTTTAATTTCTCTAAGCTTTCCTTGGCAAATCTAAAGTAAACGACGTAGGTTGGTAGCGTGAAGTTGGCGACGTTAATCGCATTCTTGGCGAAATGTCAGAAAGCTCAATTTCTCTTAGATAGCGATAACTGTATATTTATGGCAGATAACCGGTGGTGTACATACAGAAATCTGCCATAACAACCATCTGCTTTCATCAGTCTGGCATTTCAAATGCATTGTAATGCATAAAAAACTGAACTAAAGATTGGACAGTAGAGTTTTTGTCCCGTGAAAATATTTTCGGACCAACTTTAGTGGTTGTAAGCATTGATTTGTACGGAAGTTTCAGACTTTATGCGCGTGGGTTAAACTTCCCGCTGGGTTCAGCTCAGATAGTTTAGAGATGAATGAACGGTTAAGAGAGAAAAATTTCAAGTTACAATGGTTCAAGATCATATAGCATAATAAAACATGTTTTTCTAACTTTCTTAAGAAAGCATACTTATATTGAATAAACATTTGGACTATAAGCAGAGAATAATTGCATTATTCGAATTGATATACAAATAATCAAATAACAGACAAGCATGAAAGAAATTTAGTAGCAAAAAATGTTCCCTATCTTAAAAAGGTAATAACATACGTATTTAATTTAAGAAAATAGTACATTATTTCATTGCAATGGTATTTTATTGCATATCCAAAGAAACAGAGAATAGTTCTAGGTAAATAGTATATTTCACTGGGGGTCCTGCAACAAGCTGACCACTTGTTCAGGGCATATGCTTACGCACCCCGGGGCCCACGGTCAAGAAAGCAGATTTTCGGGCACTGCAGGCCCGGCCATGTTTCGCCACTGCGTTTAGTTTCTTTAAATACTATATTTTGAAGAAGTAGTATATTTGTTGCTGTTGCTGTTTATGCTCACTTGTCTGGCGCAGTCAACCCAAGCCCACGAAATTCTTCGTGTCAAAGGAGCGCATGATTATGCCTGTCGTTAGCAACAACCTTGAGCACCTAACAGGTGAGAGGGCGATTTGGATCACTTCCGCCTCCAATTTTGATGGAGAGCACCCCGGGGGAACGGGTCCGACTGTCTCCCACTCCTCTACCCTTCCACCAAAAAACACGAGGACTTCCGGCTCGCCGCATATTTAGAGTGACGCCATGCCGCACCGACATTACACATTTACAAACATCCCTGCCTTCTCCGGGATTCAAACCTGGGCCCTTCGGCACGACAGTCAGCGACGCTAAGTTGGGGGGCAATATTATATTTTGAATACAAAATTTAAATTAGGGCGTAAGTTAAACTGAATAAACAAATAAAAAATCACAATTATCACTATTTATGTGTTGCACAATTGCGATGCATCATAACCCACCAGGGACAGAGTAGGTAAGACTACTGAATACTATAGTTGATTTCTGGTTCTTTTCCTTGCGATTGGGACCATAAGCGGCCGAGCGGTAAAATCGCTGAACACTGGTAGTTCGGTACGAAGCTCGAATCTCGCAAACGGGCTGGTTGCATGGGCGTTTTTGTGGTTTTCTCCATGTGCAACGTGTATACGAGGCAGTTTCCCTTAGAAAGTTTTCCACTAAGGCATCCCTCCCCTTATGAAGGTAGCCTTCGAGGCTTTGCCATAATCAAATAAAAACAAAACAAACCTCGCTATTGCGTTGATAGTACAGGTCGTCATAGATTTTCCCTATATATAATATGAATACTCCAGTGTCCCCTTGAATGTCTCGCACGAAAGTGTTTTAAATTGATAGTACTCGATGCTTTAGTATAATCAGTTAATCAACAAACCATAATTACCAATGATATTACAAAAAGTGTAATGTTAGTTGTGTAACATCACTTTATATCAAATTATTAATCAATGTTTTTAATCATCATTATTAATCTTATTACGAATCATCATTACGAATCATCATTATTAATGATATTACAAAAAGCATAAATGCAATATTTGTGAGAAATTATAGATTCCTATAGCTAATCTTTCCTGTGTCAATAAAAAAAATGCAATATAAATGCTTTATTTACTGCATTTATACTTTTGTAATATCATTTGTAAGTATTTTTGTTCTGATATAAAATGGTTTTAAAAATGCATTTCCTGAAAATGCATCAAAAGTAACAATATAAACAAAAATTATTACTGTTTCCAAAGGTTTAAAGAAAGCTTTCCTTTTTTCAAGGAAGGCAGAATCAGATTAACCATTTAATGAAGGCAAAATGCACAGGAGTTATTTGCTTATTTGGTGTTTCAGTTTTGAATGACAGCACCTCAGAAGATGTGTAATTAGTGGCACAGTTGTCTATTTTTTACAACTAAAAACGTAATAATTCTAGATATACGTATTTATCGTATACACTGACTACCAATAAGTATTTGGACACCTGTGATAGAAAAGAAAAACTAACTTCATTCAAAATAAATAGTTGGTAGAGCCTCCACGAGAGGTAATTACAGCGTGGACCCTCCGGGGAATACTTTCCACAAGTCTTTGTATGACAGCTAGTGGTATTTTCTTCCACTCGGCTTGGAGAAGATATAGAAGTTCCTTCACCGATTTTGCAAGGGTAGTGCACCCCTGAATTCGGCGATGCAACTCATCCAAGAGGTTCTCGATAGGGTTCAGGTCTGGACTGTGGGCAGACCAGTCCATTCGATGAACTCCATTGGCACCATACCAAGCCTTGGTTAACGTCAAAACAAGACAACTGGCATTGTCGTCCTGAAAGTAACTGGGGTCGAACCCGTAAAACTGCCAAACGTAGGAAGCACATTGTCATCCAAAATAGTGCAGTAGGCATCGGAGTTGAGCTTACCATGAATGGGGACCAAGGGTCCCAGCCCATACCAGGAGAAACACCCCCAGACCATAATTCCACCTTCGCCGAACTTGATTGTTAGTACAATGCATTCTGGCAGGAGACGTTCTCCAGGTAGACGCTAGACCCAGACCCTGCCATCCGAATGGTAAAGGGGGAACCTTGATTCGTCACTCCAAAGAACCCGTTTCCATTGATCTACGGTCCAATTTCGATGTGCTTTGCACCACATTAACCGAGCAGCGTGGTTGGACTTTGTAATCAAAAGCTTATGGGCAGCAGCACGACCATGAAAACCAAGCAGATATGCTTCCTTATGTATTCATTGAAACAATACTCCCGGATGCCTGTTGAAACTCCTCGCGGATGAGGGCTATCGATTGTGTGCGGTTCTTCCGAATTTCTCTGAACAGCACTCGTCGGTCTCTATCCCCCAGTTTCGTTGGTCTGCCGACTCGGGGCACATTCCGACAATCACCCCTCACCTTCCACTTCTTAATCACATAGGCCACTGTCGATATTGGGTACTTCAGATCGCTAGATATGTCTCTTAAGGATCGGCCACATTTGTGATACCCGATAATTATACCTTTCTCGAAATCAGAGAGCTCCGAACTGCGAGGCCTCTTGCATGCGACTAAAGCCGATGCTGTTTCCTACACGATATATACCGGCGGAGTCAGCGGCGTACCTTGGGACCGCAGATATCGTCATTTGCATAGGTGTCCAAATACTTATTGGTAGTCAGTGTATATGGTCTATTGGTCTGTCTTCATCGTAATACAAATGTGCTTTTAATAATGAATTTAGAATGATAAAATTTACGTAGTCTAGAAAACCTTTGTCATATATTTGCTCCCAATTTCTTTTCTTTTATTATTATTATTTTTTTTTGACAGAACGTATACATTTTTTTCGCTTACAAATAAATAGCGCTATTTTGCAAATATTGCATTCATTATTTGGAATATTTTTTTTTTAATATTCTGTCCCTTTATTTTTTTCAGATGCATTTACTCTGAAGGCTTGTAGTAAGTAAGTACTAAATATAGTGAGAGAAGCTCCTTGCAATTTCTATTGAAAATGTGTATTATATTTCATGACTGAGTTAAAAGAGAATAAAGGTGAACGAATAACGCATGTATGGTAATCAAATAATGATTGACATTGACTACCAAGCTGCTGAAATGATTACAGCTAAAATGCTGACAGAAAAATAGAGTGGTGTGGCTTTTACGCAAATAAAATATATATATGAAATATGGTCAACTAAAACTACTCTGTGCCCGAAAGAAATTAATTAACTTATTTCATTTCTTTTTACAAAATTATCAGATGCTTCTTTACATCTCAAACCTGTTCGAGTACCGATCCTCCTTGATCCTAGTTACGTTCTCTAACTTTTGTGAATTTCAATATGCGGCTGTTACTGACGTTAAATTTGGTCACCCGTGGTATATAGCAAAAGGGACTAAAAGAAATCTAATAGATTAAGTCAGCTATTTTTATTATTAAATGTTAACAGGAAGTTTATATGCGTCTTTTTCTATAATATTGAATCAACATGTAATCAGTATGAAGAGTATTATAAAGTCCTAAAGTCCTAAGACTCGAATATATCAGTTTTACATAGTGGTCCCCAAATTAGCAAAGTCGTCTCACCTTCAGGTACAAATGGTTGAAACTGTTACGTATTTTAATGTAGAGAAAGTAATATTCGAATGATCAATGGCGATAACACAACACAGGCCTAGTGTTTTTAAATATGAATGCCCACAGTTTAATCATATCATGTGTTCATGCATTCTGTATTAGTAAAAATTCAAGAAGTATATCTGAACACATACATTTGGATTTTAATTGGAAGTTATTAATACAAAGCAGCGCAAACTTGAAATTAGAAATCGATAAAAACACTGTAAGCGTTACCAGGAAGTAAAATAACAACTTATTGCTATGATCTAATTTCCTCCGGTATGTAAACCGAAAATCGGTCTTCGACATTTCATGAGACAACTTCTGAATAGTTCAACAGTTTTGTTTACTAAGGGATGATGTTTAAGTGCATTCGTGTTTTTTGACTGCGCAAGTTGAATATTCGCAATGTGTTACAAGCTCTATAATGGCGCAGAGAATAAAACTCGCTTTTAGACAAGATAAGCGCATAAAGTTTTGCGTATTTCCCAAGAAATCCATTTGCATATCATTTAATTACCTGAACGTCTGACTCAATAAACAAGTTCTTCAGCATCTACTTCACTAGGCAGTAAACTCATTACTTTCAAATGTATTTTCCAAAGCATTTCTCTAAAAAAAAATCAGTTAGTGTTGAATTCTTTCTAGGATTCATATGCAAAATCTCCTGCATGAACGAATCTCGACATATGAGAATCAGGGATTCATTTCATTTTTTGTACTAACATCCGGGTCTTACCTCATTTCTTTGCTGTACTAATTCGACAAGATAAATGCTGTCCCTAATGATAATTTGATTACGCAAAGCATACGAGGGCTACGTGCCTTAGGGAAGGGATGTCCTCGGGAAGGACCTTCTAAGAGAGGCTAGTTCTTATACATGTTACACATGGGAAAAGAAACGAAAACTCCTATGCAGCCATCCCGTCCGCCGGGATTCGAACCACGCACCGAACTACTAGTGTTCAGCGACTTCACCGCCCGTCCGCTGATGGGTCTCTAAAATGACTGAGGCCTATTCTGAAAAGATATTTTCTGAAAAATGTCTTAACCACACTTCATGCGATATGATTAATTATTATTTAGTCCTGATTTATCCATTTTTAATGTTTGAACTCAGTACAATATTTTCATTTCCCCTTCTAAATGCAAGATAACAAGAATTTTTAATTTTCTTGAAATAAAAGATGAAACAACTCTTCCTTAATGCTTCTGTATGCTTTGTTGCTGGGATAAGAATTGCAACACTGCATTCAAGATTATTTTATTTAAATTCTTTGGTGATTTAAATTTTTTTTTTTAGATATTAGAAACTTTTAACTCCTTGTGCACTCCCCCAATATAATACATGGCTTACAAAGGTAAGTTAAAAAAATACGAACGAAACAGCACGAAATAAAATTTACAAATTCACGGATGAAGGTAAAAATAAATATACAGAAGGAAGAGGGTGCGTTTTTTGAATAAACTTATGGAAAATGCTTAAAGAATGTAACTGGGAAAAGAGTTCTTTTCTTCCTTGAGTAAGCTTTGGGTAGTAGAACAACAAATGTTTTACATCTTACAGTTTCCCGAAACCACAGGAACACAAGTCTATATAAGTAATCCAGATCTCTTCAAATATAAATTGCAATTATTGTGCCCAGTTAGGAATTAGGTAATTTCAAAATTGCAGTAAAAGTGTTTATTACTAAGTCTTTGAAGAACAGAAGGGGAAAATAATTTAGTCAAAGAGGCAGTAGAAAATTTGTATGTAATTCATTCCTCTTAAAACCCTCTAATCGGCAAAGCCGTATATATACGGCTTAGAATAGTTTTTGTGATATCTGTAAGAACGTAAATATACGTGCATATTAAAATATGTTAAAGAAATTAAGGCAATATATTAAAAGCACACAAATCCAGGTATAAAATGCCAGGAGAAATTTTACTTAAAATCAAGAAAATAATTTTTCTCATAATAGTTTTGTAAAATTTGTGCTTCCTTAGCGAAAACCGTGGACGGTCAGAGGATCTTAAGAATTGTTTTATTCCAACTTTGCTTCTTGAAGAAGGACTTAAGTAGTGTCAATGAGGTGTTATCTGAAACTCTGTAGCTTGTTTAGCCAACCAATCTGCCTTTTCATTTCCTAGATTGCCAGTGTAGCCTCGTACATGAGAGATGATAACATCAACACTTTTATTACTAAACTCTTTGAGAATCTGATGAGAAATAACAATTTATTTATTACAAGAGAATATAAAGATGAAAGAGAATCAGTACAAGTGAGAAAGTTACAACTTAACGAACAATGATTAGATATCCATTTAACTGATGCATTATGCACAGTAATTCGGCGTAATAAACACTGCATTCATTGAGAATTCTAAATATTTTTTTTTCTAGTGTAGAACCAGGATGAAAAATGACATAAGCTAGTCCAACTCGATTAATCTGCCATCTGTATAACACACAACTGGGAAATTATCTTCAACAGAATTGTAGTATACTATAGCTGGAACTGGAAAACGATAGAGAAAGGACGAAAAAGATCTTCAAACAAAACTTTAGTATCGAACATAAGTTTACTCATATTATGTTTAAATTCTTTGTCATGTAAAATGGGACGTTAAATCGGGAGGGGGGTGCAATTGCTGAACAGGTTTCGTAGTTAATTGTTCTGCAGCCTCGCACACCTCTTAGTAAAGTTCTTTGAATTTCGTTGAAGAGTTTGGAAATGATAAATCGAGAGCATGCTATTGCATTTACCTAAGTTTATAAGGTATTTCTCCCACTTTCCTAGCGTGCCTTCGTGGTGTAGTGGTTCTGCACGCTGAGCCGGTATTTCAGAGGTCCGTGGTTCGATTCCCGGCGAAAGCGGTTGCTATTTTGCATCTTTCTTGCTTCCAAAAAAATCATAATGTCTCTACAATGGCGTCCGAACTAAAAGGGTGTTGGAAGAGGTGTCTCCACACCCAGGATTTGGCGATTGGGTCCCTAAAAACCCCAGTCGCCCTTTAAAAAGGGAAGTATGTAAGATATTTCTCCCACTTTCCTAGCATGCCTTCGTGGTGTGGTGGCTCTACACGCTGAGCGGGTATTCCAGAGGTCCGTGGTTCGATTCCCGGAGAAGGCGATTGCTGATTTTTCATCTTGCCTACTTCCAAAAAAATCCTAGTGTTTCTACAAGTTAAGATTTTAGGTACGGTGAACATAGCAGAATATAGAAAGGTTATTTATATATTTTTTTAATTTCAGACTTCAAATCAGGATAACGTTTTCTATTTACTATTACTACATCACTTAAAATCATTAAGAATCTGAGAAATATCTTGATGCATTTTATTAAAGCCATGCAAACACTTTTACCATTTAAAATGCATTGTTCGGGAAAATCTAGTCTTCTATTCTTTATTTCTTTTACCTAAAAAGATATTGCCATGGTAACGGGCTGTCAAGACAACTGTGTTGTCGATCTAACCATAATTTACCTATTACAAAGAATATGAATTATAAGGGGAAAAGTTTCTTTCTTTTGATTGTGTTACGTAGCTTAAGATTTATTTTATATGTAAAATATTTATATGAGTGCTTATTACTTTTCAGAACATAATTTTCTAGTTTTTCTGTGTCACTGGGCATTATCAGCAGTCTAAATAAGAAACTGGAAATAGGTTTTAGAATTTACATAGTTGTAAGCAAATAGAAAATTCGGTTTTTTCACAAAGGACTGAAAGATTTACTCATACGGTAAATCTTTCAGTCCTTTGTGAAATTCGTATTTTTAGAATGATCTTTTTTACTTCTTAAAAACTCGTGTAGCCCTTTGGAAAATAATCTATCGCTTTTTAATTATTATGTGACGACCTGTAAGTCTAGTTTATTTGGGCTTATTAGATTCAATATAATGAAAATTGAAACATGCCAATGTGCAAGCGAGATTTGTAATTGTGCTCAGATATAAGCTATATATTTAATGAAACGACTAGATATAATAGAGGATCTTATACTCATCAATTGAGCACAGCTATAGTTTAAATCCTCATTCTTACTGGCGATAAACTTTCATCTTATTTTAACATAAAGGATAAAATATTTAACATAAAGGATTAAATTAAGTAGTCTTCTTTATTACCTCTAGTATTGAACCAAATATAAGAGGAATTTTCCTTCTTAAAATGCTATTCCAAATCTTATGTATCGTAAGCTCTTAGCCTAAAACTTAAAAGTTAAATTTTGTATTAAAATATAGTTTTAGCATAGTTTAAAAATAATTATACTTCAAGGTATGTCACTATGGCAATTTAATTATTTCTTTTCAAAAATACTCTCAGCATTTTAACCTCTTGCATGTTGAAGC